GGGGCACCATTTCAACCCACCCCCTCCTGGAGACAGGGCTGTGATCAGCTCCTGCCACGGCTGCTGGGAAGCACCCCAGGCACAGGGAATGCCTTCCCCTGCTCATTGTCAGGCACAGGAGGACAGGTGCACCCTCCAGACACAACCCTGGTTGCTCCAGGTGTAAGTTTGCCCCCCCGGGGGCTCCTGTGGAGCAGCGGATGGACGGGCTGACAAGGAGGGGGAGGTTGAGCAGAGCCCAGCTGGAACAGGGCATGGGAACAGGGGCTGGGGCTGCCCAGCAGGAACAGGGAAAGCCAACTCAGCAACATGCTGAGAGGACAAGGGTGAAACCTCAAGCTGCACAGGAATCTCCTTCAGCTGGAACCACCCCGTTCTAGCTGCATCCCAGGCTAACATGGCACAGGAAGCACAGGTTGCACAGGTTGGTGCACTCACGTGCCAGGCTCACTGAAATGAGCCTCTTTTCCCCTTCACGTGAAAGTAGGCAAGACAACCAAATGCTTAAAAATAACCTTCCCTATACACAAAAATCTGTCAGAGACAGTTAACTTCCTTTTTTTCCCATCTACACTACAGTGTTCTGTTGCACAAACCCTACCCATCTGCTTAAGAGGAAGAAAAGGACAAATAAACTCAAAAAAGACAAAAGTAAAACACTCTGCTTCTTGCCCTTCCCCAGGAAAACCATTAATCTTCACTTATTTTTGGGCAGGGAAAGCACAGGTGTGAGTTACCAAGCACGTGTCCCTCACAAACCACCTCTGCTCAAAGCTGATGCTCTTTGTGTAGCTCCCTGCATCTCTCCCCTGCAGAGAGAACAACACACCAGTCATGCTGCTCTGACCCTGATGCTGAACTCATCACCCCTGCTTGCCCCTGCAGAGCCTTTATGCCAAGAGCATCATCCTGTGCCCAGGGAACAACACAGTATTGTACCCTGCATGTTCCCAGCTGGGTCCCTGATGCACTTACCTTGCCCGTGGGACTGTCCAGAGCAGGAGGCAGAACCTCCACGTCCAGCACCTGCTCAGAAAGCTGTGTCTGGAAACCCAAGTCCTAAGGAAGAAAGCAGAAAAGCACGTCAGGATTCTCTTGTGGGCTCAGCCAGTGGGACTGAGCAGCACAGGGACTCCTGCCACTGATGGACCCGAGGAAACTGCCTGCAAGACCAGGGGAGGACACGGGGACTGCAGGGCAGTGAGCTCTGCCACACCAGGCAGGGCTGACCCTGCCCGTCCACACCAGCAGCACATCTCCCCCCAGCCTCTGCTGCTCTCATTTCTTGGTATTGCTGCAGATTTCCTGAGATTTCCCCCCAAAGTCAGCTCATGCAAGTTGCCCAGAAGCTGTTCACCCTCCCAGCTAATCCTCCCTGCTGGCAGAGCCCCGGGGTCCTGGCTGCACATGTCCCTGTGTGTCCCTGTGTGTCTGTGCCCACACGTGAGCCCCACACTGGCCCTGTTGGAGGCAGCAGCCCCTGCCAACACACAGACTTGTCCACACACTGATAAATAATGATCTTCTCAGCCATTTGCTGGCCATGCTGCCTCTGCTCCCACTGGCAGATGGCAATGGCAGCCTCCCATGGAGATGAAGAGATGCTGATGGGCATCTCCCCCCACCCCAGGGCTGTTCTCCCGTGGGGACCCTCCAGAGCCAGGTCTCCCAGCCAGACCAAGTCCCCTTAGATAAATCTGCTGAGGCCCTTAAAGCACAATTTTTACATTGCTTATTGTTTTCCTTTTTGCAATTACCCAAGTGCAGCCCCAGCTCCAAGTGACCTACTTTTCCAGGGATATCACCTCCCCAGCAGAGAGAACCTGCTAAGTGCAGAACAACACTATGGGACTCTGCCCTGCTCTTAAGGTCAAAGCTCAGCCCTGCAGGAGTGGGGAAGCTGGACTGCAAGAGGTGGGCACAGCCTCCCAGGGGAACCCACAGCCAGGAACAAGGAGCTTTCAGCCACTCACCACAGGCTGACCCAGCACATGGTCTGAGTGTTTGGAGACTTGCAAGTCCTCCCCAAAGTCACTGCTCCTGGACAACTCTGAAAGCTGAGAGGAGATATGAGTTACAAGCACGTGTCCCACCCCTGCACCTTCATCCAGGCACTTCCAACAGGACTAGAAATGACACCAGGAAGACAAATCTCTCTAAAAGACTCTCAAAAGTAGCCTACAGGAAAGCTGGGGAGGGACTTTTTGTAAGGGCACAGAGTGATAGGACAAAGGGTAATGGTTTTAAAGGGAAGAGGGGATATTTAGACATTAGGAAGAAATTCTTTAGCATGAGGGTGGGGTGACCCTGGCCCAGGTTGCCCAGAGAAGCTGTGGCTGCCCCATCCCTGGCAGTGCTGAAGGGCAGGTTGGATGGGGCTTGGAGCAACCTGGGCTGGTGGAAGGTGTCCCTGCCCATGCAGGGGGTTGGATCTAGATGGTCTTTAAGGTCCCTTTTAAATCAAACCATTCAATGATAAGGAAGAAAAGGTGACAGAACACCATGAGAAACACCAAGGGTGTGATCCACAAGACAAGCACAAAACACCACTTCACAAAGATAAAGGACTGAGGAGGGAAGGCAGGGGTAGGAGAGGGGACTCTGCAGGGCAAATAAGTGCTCTTCAAATATCCCTGATAAAGGGCACTTGCTCACTGTCCTCTGCTCCTTCTGCAAGGACCTCTGCAGCTCTGAGAACTCTCTAACCTACCATATAGGTGGGGAAAGCCACATAGAACAGTATCACCATCTGAGAAGGACTTTCAAAGTACACTTTGGCCTGCCCACCCCATGGCAGGAAGGGCTCCTGCCCTCCAGCAGCAGCTGCTTGGTGGGAACACCCCTGTAGCCCTGCTGGCTTCAGCACAACCACCCAGGCACGGGCAGCAAGGATGTGTTTGTAACAGCAAAACTTTCAACTTGAGGCTCTCCAGGACAGAACATGGTTTCCAGGCTCAGTTTTATACCTTATAATTTCTTAAAGATATCAAACATCAGTGGAACCAGAGAAATCATCAAAATGAGCAGGAAGGCAGCAAGGCTGGAAAGAGATTGCTCTTCAGCTCTTGCATTGGAACATTTTTGGAAGACACCAAATAGGAGTGGACTCTATGCATCTGCCTGGCACCCCAGGTGCAGGGGCCGGGCCAGGCCAGGCACCCATCTGCCCTTGGGACACCTCATGGTCCCTCCCCTCCAGGGGCTGTGCAGGGGGATGCTCTAGGGGAGCTGCCAGTTCTCCTTCAGCAGCCAGACTGGGAGGTGGTGTGCTTGGCATTTTTGAGCTCCAGCTCTGGAGCCAGCCCTGAAGTCCCTCTCCCCCCTTCCCAGCAGATCCTCCACAGAGCTGCAAAGACCTCAGCTCCTCAGTCTTGGCACTGCAGCCAAGAGGAGCAACACAGGAGAGGAAAAACACAGCAGGGTTGGGGCTGAGCTTTATTGTTGAACCCTCTCTCTGAAATGGTGATTTCTCCTCCAACATGACACAGCTCAGGGGTTCTGCCAGGCAGTGGCTCTGAACAATATTTGGGGTGTGCAGAACAGCATGATTGCCCTGCTCAGTGCTGAAGATGCTGATGGGGAAGCCAGAGCACTCATGTCCCCCCAGACACCCCGTTCATGAGGCAAGGGCTCACCAGGGCTTATGAGAAAAGAATTAAGTGCTCCAGGAGCTTTCCTGAGTCAAGACCTCACAATGCAAGGGTCCTGAATCAGGACCAGACCTGGACCACATCTGGGTCCAGGACAGACAACTCTGGCCCCCAGGTATTTCTTTCCACCAGGACAAGTGTACAGAGATGGGCAAAGGGTGTTTGTTCAGTACCTTTGAACAGAACCACATCCAGCTCTGAACTGAACACTGGGAGCAGGGGCTCTGATTTCTGCAAGGAAAGTGTGTGTGCAGAGGGACTCACACCACTTGTAACTCATGTGAGCAGTCAAACAAGGTATTTTTTAAAAAGTAATGCTCAAGTTAAAAACATGAAAACTGTTTTGAAGGGTGATGTTCAGGACTGACCTGAAAGAAGCTGTTAATATATTTGATTGAGTTACCTTTATCTAAACTCTATTATTTGTTTGTTATGTTTGAGACACCTTTACCCCATCATGAAATGACCAAAACCAGCTGCAGAGTGAGGTGGACACCTCTGCTGGCCCTGTACAATGAAGAAGTGAGATTCACCAGCCTGCAGGTGTCAGAAGGGGTGCAACTCAATCATCTGAACCCCACACGCAGTTTCCTGGCAGAAATCACCCTCATGGGCAGAGACTTCTCCCGAGGGTCTGTTTGAGGAGCTGAACAAGCAGGATGGGTAATTCCCATCCCGTTGTGCCAGTGTCCAGTGGATAGTTGTCCCTTCCCAGGACAGCAGCTCCCACACCAAGCCCAGCCTGTGCAGGCAGGTCTCTTACTTCTCCAGCATCCAGCCTGATCTCTGCTTCCACATCAGCTGCTGCCTCTTCCCTGCTTTCCTTCACTGACTCTTCCCCAGCAGACAGGGTGCCAGGAGCTGCAGCCAGGCTCTCCAGCTCCTCTTCCTCAGCCCCTCCAGCAGCTGCAGACACAGCTCCAGGCTGCTCAGCACCACTGGGCACATTGGTCCCTGCTGCACTTCTTTCCCCCAGAGACTGGGGCAGCTCTTCAGCTGCAGAGATGTCACCTTCCACCTCAGCATCTTTTGTGCCCAGTAACTCCTTCCCAGCAGGTTTCCCATCTGAATTCTCCTTGTCCTGGCCAGACAGGCTACTGTCAGCATCTCCAGAACGAACGTCCACTGGAGTTGGAGGGCACGCAGCATCAGAATCCAAGGAAGACTCCTGCCCTTCTTCAGGGTGTCTTGATTTTAAAGACTCCTTCTAGGCAGCAAGTCAAACACAATTATAGCTACAACATTCTCTGCCTCCTCTCTCTGGGAGGATGCAGGGGTCAGAAACAGCATGGGCTGTACAGCAAGAAGCAAAATCGCAAAGCTTTGGGTGACTTCAAGACCACTTTGATTTCTTTTCATACAGCCCTTTTCAAAGGAAAGGAAGCTCATTAAGATAAAACACGTTCATTTCTTGGGCTCAGACTTTTTTTTTTTTCTTCATCTGTTGCTTTTTATTCACAGGATCTCAGTGGATAAGAGTCAGCAGTGGCTGCTGCAGGAGCTGCCAGCCCCTGGGAGCACCTACGTGCTCTGCAATAGACCCATTTATGCTTCCACATTGAATCTATTCAGTAAGAGATTAAAATTTGCAAGAGACTCTTCCTGGACATTTAACTTTGACCTGAAATAACTGGAGAAGGGCAGGCAGGACACATTCCACCTTCCAGCAGGTCAGGCCACTGCTCTAAGCTCAGAACAAAACCATCCCCAAACACAGAGTGAGAGATGGCAGAACCCACTGGCCTTGGGAAAAAACCAATCCCAAATTAAAGCTTAGTCACCCAAAGGTTCGACTGCCTCTCCCAGCAGCAGGGAGGCCCACAAAGCTCACAATGAAAAGTGAGATAGCCAGGAGGAAGCAGGAGAAGGTTCCCTCATCAGTATGCAAACAAAACTGCTCACACGTCCTACTTTCTCGCTGTTTTATTAATGCTGTGGTGCCTTGTCAGGCATTAGCTGCATCCTGTACAGCCTGTACCCTACACAGACTGCATATTTGGAGGGTGTATTTTTATCAAAGAGCAACTGGAATGTTGGCAGCTTGAAACCCAGAGCTGCAGCAAACAGAGAATGTCTCCCAGCACATCATTTGTCTGAGAGACCTTCTCAGGGCTGAGAGCACCATCCAGAGGGACCAAGTCACTGGGTGCTGCCCAAAGCCCTGCAGTTCAGAGCCTCTCCTGCAACTCCCTGAGTAATAAATACAAGTGTGCAGCCCCTTTCCCCAGGATGCCTGGTGAGCAGAGACCCTCAGACACCACCAAAGCACCAGCCACAGCTCTGCAGAACCACTTTATTCCAGAACCCACAAAGACATGTGAACAGCATCTCTCTAGTGTTGCTCCACTGGAGGAGCCCTCGTTACACTTCCCTTTGTTAGGGCACCTGGGAAGAGACAGGTCACCAGTTGTGCTCCCTTTAGGACAGGCTGGGTTTGGAGTTGTCCTGGGACCTCTCACCAGGACAGTGCCTGAAGAGATGCCAAACCAGACCAGCCAGGATCCTCATGCTTCCAAGCAGCATACAGGTATTTCCCTTCGAGGAGCACAACAGAACATACCAAGGTATCCAACAATACTCTGCTCACAGATTTCTCCCAGGCAAGTGTATCTCAGTTACTAGAATATCCCAGAATAATTCCTGCAGTTGGCAGAATCCTATTTTAAGGACAGATACAGACAATTTTTTACCTTTACACCTTAATGACCACAAATGCAACTCCCTGGAAGAGGGAACAATGCCAGACACAGGTGGAGGAGGAGGAAGCTTCTCCTCCTGCAAAACCACACTATGGAATTTCTATGGATTTCAGAGCTAGGACAAGTCAGGCAGGTTATAATTGGCTTTATCTGATCTTTTCACAAGCTATAACACCTTGTAGCGAGCAACACCAGCTGATGTGAAATTTCTGCCTATCAAATCATCCCTCCCAGTGCTCAGCATAAGTCTGGAGAAAAGCACATTGATACCAACAGGAGCAGGTTTTGAAAAGGCATCTGGTCTGGAGAGGAACAGTCTGTTTGAACAGCAGCCACCAAAACCAGACCCTGCTCACCCCAGGAGACTGGACAACTGCATCACCTCCTTGGGTTAAGGTTGAGCATGAGATATGACAAAATATTTTTTTCTACCTTTAAAGAGAAAAAGGAGGAAAAAAATCTCAGCTGCCTCCAGAACATCTCTGAAAGGGGAGGTGCTGCCCCCTTGCTCTCCAACATCAGGCTGCTCTCAGACACAGGAGGAGAGGCAGGGTTAGGTTTGCTGGGCCTCATGTGGGGAGCACCTGCTCTTGGTGCCTCAGTTCTCACACCTCTCCAGGCATATGATGCTTTACCTAGCAACACACACACCAAGCTGCTAGCAGAACCACAGCACAGCACCAGAAGCTGCCTACTGCATGCAAGGCTCCAGGGACATCATGCAAGCAGGACCATGATGTCAGAGCACTCATCACCTCAGCCAGGCTGCCAGGTTCCTCCACGGGGCTGCTCCTGTGCTGGGGATCAGCTTCAGCAGCATCAGCCACCCCTCTGCCAGCCTCCTCCTCCTCCTCTTTGCTGTCCTCCTAGCAGGTGAGGTAACAGCCACTAGCAAAAGTCCTCACAGCCCCATTACTCTCACAGGCAGGGGACCCAACCACCTTGGAATAGGGAGTGAGGGCTTAGGGCTCTCCCAGGTTCCAGGGAAGCAGCAGCTCTGCTCCCTGCAAACACCCCTCTGCAGGGACACAGGCTGTGTCCAGTGACAGAGGCAGCTCCCTAGCACACATCTCCATCTGGCAAAGTGGTGAATTCCCACCACACCAAGGACCCCCTGCCTGCCAGTGTTCACCCCCAGAAGGACCTGGGCACAAGGCAGGTCCAAACCAACCCCCCCCAGGCTGCAAACACTGCACTGGGGATCAACTTCTGCTGCCATGGGACCCTCTCCCCAGGCACCCCAAGATGCTTCCACACCTCTTCCTCCTCTTGTCCCTTCCAACAGCATCCCAAAGGCCTTTTGTATTTCAGGGCAAACTCTGGTATTCCTGCAGCAGCTGTGAAAGTTGGGCTCAGGTGATCATTAACCCCTCGGGCAGCCAAGCTAAGCTGCCTGGAACAGGTCCTCTTCTCAGGAGCACTCTTACCTCACACCTACAGAACCCCAGCATCTGACCTGGGTTTCATTTTCAGTGCCTTGTCCCTGCTCCAGAGAAACCCACTGAAGGGGCTGCACTTCTTCCCATCCCTTTCTCTTCATTGTAGCCTCCACTCTCACCCAACATCCTCCAACCTCAGCAAGTCACTAAAAACCACACTCAGTTCCTTGAAATGCAGGGAAAAGCCTGCGGGTCAGGGCTGATAAATCACCTCACCCAGGGGCTGCTCATGGGAATCCTTTCCCCCTCTCCCCCAGGGCAGGGAGCTGGGGCTGCAGGCAGAGCTGGGCTCACAGCAGCACCTTCTGCTGCCATCTGATGGCACCTCCAGCCAATTACCTTCCCAGAAGGGCACCAGGATCTGATCAGGACTCATGTCACCCATCTGGGTTAGCAGCCTGGCTGTCGGGCAGCAATTGCCATTTCTTAATGGATTCCTGAAGCCCTGCTGAGGCACCAAAATGCCAGGGCAGCTCTTTGTTCCCCAGCACATTAACATCTCGGTGACGAATTGGGCTGCTTGTTGTTTGGAGATGAGGGAGAGTCAGGCCTTTCTTTTCCACACCTACTTTAGCAGAAGCCTTTGCAGCTCCTGCCCAGCACTCTGAATAGGTTCTCCAGTAAAGCACTTTACAGCTTAATTTTTTGTAAGCTGTGAAAAGGATCAGGGAAATACTGTAAAACACTTTTAAAGAAATTTAATTTGCCTTTCAGACACTGGAACAGAATTTTCAAAGCAGTGAGAAAGGATTAATGTCAGCTCAAACAGTTGGGCTGAAGCACCAGAGCTGCTTCCCATTGTGCCTGTGTCACCTCAGGCCTGATCCCTGCCAGGAGAGCACAGGCAGAGCCCAAACCCCCAGGGAAAGCAAAAGCTCTGCACAAGGCCACACGTGTGGCTCTGACACTGTTTCTGAGCCAGGGAGCTCCACAGCAGTGCAGGAACACAGGGCTCAGGTTGCCACAGAAGAGTAGCCACACACGGGCCCATCAGGAAGCTTCTCAAATTCTTGTGGCCCCAGTGACACTGTAAGAATGGCCTTTCCAGAGACCATTCCCCTCTCTTCTTCCCACTGTAAATTCAGCTGAGAATGAGCCTTTCCCCACACACTGAGCAAGCCTTGAGGAAGCAAACTGCTTTTTCCTCAGCAAACCCTCCTCCCACAACAACTGCAGCAGCACCTCCCAGATCTGAGACCCTCTCTGCTGTTCCATGGAAGAGCAAATTTCCAGCTTGCCCATCACAGCCACATGGCCCAATTTTCTCTTTCTTCAGAAACAAAGCCCCACACTGTGCAAAGATGCCAGCTACTCCAATTCCATCTACCAAACCACAAGCATCCTCCAAGCACCAGCCTACCTTGGCTACCCACATCTGTCCCCTGCAGATGTGTCTGGCTGCTCACAGACCCCCCAGCCCTGCTCCAGGTTGTTCCTGCTCATCAACAACACATGAAGCTCATCCCTCAGGCACCTGTTCTGCCCATCACCCACATTCTTACCTCAGAGTTGAAGCTGCCTCCCAGGGCACTGACATCCATGTGCAGGTTTTTGAGCAGTCTTGATGTCCCATGGAGGCTCTAAAGGTGTTTAGAAAAAGGAGATGGTGAACCCAGAGTTCTGAGCTCTGCAATCCCACAGACCCCATGGGAGGCACTGGGGGCTCCTCATCAGTGAGGGAAGGCAGCAGAGCCAGGGGAACACTCCCAGACAAATAAGCCTATAACCAATTCATTTTGGAAATGCAATCTGGCAGGTATGGATTTATAGGGATACAAGGAGACAACAGGATTAGACAGAAGAAACGCAGAATGAATTAGTGCCCTGAGCCAAAGAGAGGAGCCAGGGGCAGCCAGCCCTCCCCAGGGGAACATCACAGCTTCCCATTCCTCATGGCTTCACCCCCTCTGCCCACTGACCCCAGGCTCACCTCATTCTCACTTTCCTCCTCCTCTTCCTGTCTCCCCTCATCCTGAGCTGCTGTGGTCACTGAGCCCTCTTCTTCACAGACCAAGCCCAGCAACCTCTTGGTCTGGCTGGTGGGCTCACAGGCCCCTACAGGCTGTGAAGTCAAAAGGAAAAGGCAATGAGAGGACAGTCAAAGTGAGATACAAACCCACCAGGACACAGCAGCAGGGAAGCTGCAGAATTCCAGGAGGGGGCTCAGAATAAGGCTGCTGCCCTTGTTCTGCTAGAACGTGCCCAGCTGGGATAGGAGCTGTTCTTCACTTCCCCTCCCAGCAGGGAAGCTCCTGCCCTAAAGCCACAAAACACCAACTCAGGCCAGGCCGTAAGACACAAAGGGTTTGAAATCGACAGTAACAAGACTTAACTCTGCAAGAAAACCTTCCCTGAAGCTGCTAATTGGTGTGTTTTGCACACGCATTGTTTTGTTTGCCTTTAAAAGCTCAATTTACCACTTAACACATTTGTTTAGCTGACCCAAAGGTCATGTTTCAGAAACAAGCATTCCCCATGTTTATAAACCTTGCATTCAACCACAACACTGTTCATTTCAGCAAACACTTGAGTGAAAAGATTATTTACCAGGTTACATTCTCTGAGCTGTCACCTCCATTTGCAGACAAATCAAAGTTCTATTAAGATTTACCCAACAGACTTTTTTCTTTTTTTACAGTCCTTTTGTTTTTTCAGCCCCTCTCCCCAGCAGTAATTGAAAATTCTCTCTTTAATTCTGCTGAAGAGAGCAGAGAGCTCAGCACAGGGTCAGCACTGGGCTCCCAGGAGGCAGCAAAAGAAATCCAAGGACAGGAGGGCACTGGGGGGTTTCCAACAGAAAAGTATTTCAAAGCTGACGCGAAATCACAAACACTGACATTTAAGCTTTAAAGGACCCCCCAACCCGTGCCCTTTGGCAGGTTCCCAGCAGCCAGAGCCTTACCTGCAGCCCTGCCCTGGGGACAGAGCCCCCCAGGCCCCCCAGGTTCCTGTTCCACGGCCCAGGGAGGGCACCAGTCGGGCAGGGCGCGAGGCGCAGCGGAGCGAGGGTCCCCGGGGGAGCCTGCACGGGTGCCAGGAGGGTGCCTGAGGGCTGGAGGGACAGAAGGACTTGCTGAGAGGAGAGCAGGGCTGCACAGCACACCCCCCTGGTTTTGGGAAGGCAGAAGGTGCTCCCCTGGGCAAGCACTGCCTGCTGAGCCTGAGCCCACCAGCCGAGCTGCCTGGGAGACCCCCTGCCCAGCAGCACGTGGGACCTTCAACCACCAGCACTGGGATCTACTCCCACATTTTGTCTTCCAAATTCCCCCTCTGAACATGGGGGATTCCTTGACAGCACCAGGGTGATCCAGAAAAAAAAAAAAATTATTCTATTTTTCCTGCTACTCTGCACAGAGTGAAGTCGAAACTTCTGCTCTGCCCCAGCTGCACCTGCCACCTCTCCAGACCAAAACTGCTCCCTCACCTGGCAAGACCACAGGCTGAAAACAGAGCTGCCCGGCTCACACACTGCAGGGTGGGGAGAGAGAGATGAACATGCACTGATCCCTCTTCCACCAGGCCATTTAAACAGAATAAACCACACATTCTGGGCTTAACTAATCATTCCCTACATCAACTCCACGCACAGAGCAGAGGGTGTGAACTGTCCTTCAGCAAAGACAAACTCCCTTCAGCAGGCTAAGTAAAACTTTCAGGATAATCTGCAGTTTATCAGGTATTTATAGTCATAGTTCTTACCAGCTAACCAACTGCTACCACATGCTGGTAATTAGACACCTGAGCAAGTGATTTGGAGGAGCTGCAGCTGGATACCCACAGCAGCAAGGCAGCTAATTAACATTACCCACCTTTTTAAATTTCAAAACAGGTTTGGTAAATTTTTGCTAAATTGCAGGGGAGGCGGACTGGCCACACAGCTGCAAATATTCTCCTTGAGTCACTTATGTCTGCTGGTCTCCCTCTGCCTTCATCCCACCTGGCTGGACACCCTGCTGGGGGCATTTATCAGAAGGACCCTGAAGGGAGAGCCCCAGGCTGCACTGCCCAAATAGGTAAATATTAGCAAATAACTAAAACATGCCATATAACTATACATATCTTATCTCTCTAGAGTAGAAATATACACTTATTTAACACAGAACTAGGTATGAAAACAGGTGTGTGTATTTTTGGCCATTTGAAATGGTCTATATACATACAAAAGGAAATACACATGGGAAGGTTTGAGGCTGAGTTGATGCCTTGAGCAACAACACAAGGCACCATCTTCCCTTAAGGAGATTTCTCTCATTTCTGGCCAAGGGAAGGTAGGAATTACTTGCTATCACTTGGATATGAAAGGAATTTGGTTATGCTTGCAGATCCCAGCAGCAAAGCAGACCAGCCTCACACATCTGCACCCATGCCCAATGTCTGGGTATCACACCACACCTGTGGGTTTGTGATCCTGTTGGATTTTCAGCCTCCCAACCCTGCTGGCCAGGATCACTGTTCCCATCCCACAGCAGCAACAGCACAGAGCCCCTGCTGCTCAGCCTCCCCCCAGCAGAGCCTACTCACAGTAAGTGGCTGCAGTGACTGCTTCTCCTTCTTCTCTTTCTTTTCTTTCTTCTCTTTTTTCTTCTTCTTCTCTTTCTTCTTCAAAGCACCCTGTGCCAGCAGCTTCTCCCTCTCCTGAATGACGAGCTGTTTGTAGTGGCCATCACAGGGGTGTTCCCACTTGGACTCACCGTTTGCAAAGTTGAAGTAGTAGAGATCACCAGTGACATCCTGGCTGTGGGGCAAAGCCAGGAGAAGTGAGGAGGGGGTGTCCCCAGCCCCAGGGGGTATATCCCTTGGGGCATTATCCCCCCCAGGGAAGGGCAGGGGTCTGCCAGGACAGCAGCTCTCACCAGGCCTTCCAGGGGGGGGGTATTGGGGCCACCAGACACTCCTTGGCCAGCCAGAGCAGCTCTGGCTCCTTCTCAGGGTCGATCCCGATCTCCTGTGCAAAATCCCAGACTTCTAAGAAAACAGAAGAGGAACCTGTGGAGATGGGCTACACCAGGCAGTACCACCCAAGCTCTAGAGCAAAGGCTGGTGGAGCAGGCAGACTGCAAACTGCAGTTACCTTTGCAACTGGAAAGCTAATCTCTCAGCTCCACCTTCTGTAAAACCCCAGTTATCCCACCCTCTCCACCCAAGCTCTCCCAGATTCCTCTTTTCTTGATACACCTAGAAATGACTTGCAGGTTGGAACCCTCTCCTCACTGCTCCTGTGAGGACAGGCCAGCTCACCTTTATCTTCAGGGATGTAGTTCTCATCATACTCTTCCTCTAGAACCAGCTGGTCCCCAATGCAGTGCACAAGTCTGTGGGCCCTGATGGGGTCCATCCACAGGTCCTGGGGGAGCTGGAGGATGCAGCTGCTAAACCTCTGTCCATATCTGAGAACTCATGGCAGTCCAGGGCGGGTCCTGCTGAGTGGAAAAAAAAGGTCCCAGAGCTGTTGTTTAAAGCAGGGGAAAAGGAAGACCCAGGGAACTACAGGCCAGTCAGTCTCACCTCTGCACCCAGCAAGATCCTCCTGGAAACTCTACAGAGGAACTGAGCACTTGGGGACTTTGGAAACAGGCAAAAAAATAAGCTGAAATGAGAAAGGGGAAAAAATGGGAAGAGAAAATCAGTTTCCCAGAGCTTTTTGAGCAGAGAATCAGCACTGCCCAGGAACCTTGGCCCTGCTCACCTTCCCAAAGAACATTTGGGAAGCTCAAAGAGGATCCTAACTGAATGTTGCTTTGTCCTGAAGGCAATTCCTTAGATCCACCACAGCCGGGTCCCTGTCCCTGTTTCCACACGGGTTCAAACACCCACAAGTTGATTTCCCTGCCCCAGCCCTGCAGGGCCCCACCTGCCCGGCATCAGCCTCTCATCCCCCCCTCACACAGCTGAGCTGCTCCAACGCGGCAAAACGACACCCACTTTTACCCTAAAACCCCCCAAAATTCGTGAAGCTTTCCCGGGGAGGGGCAGGGGCCGCGGTGGGAGCGGCAGGAGGAGGGGGCTGAGCGGCGGTACCAGCCGGGCTGCCCCCCCTGCCCCC